CAGGACTTAGGGCCATATAAACTACACAAAATGACATCAACAGGACCTTCGTAAACAAACTACAAATGGAGATCATAAATAAAAACCTACAAAGAGTTTTTGTTTATTTATTCCTTATGTAGTCATTAAATAAATTTTTAAAAAAAACATTCATACGGCTTTGAAAAGCTATAATTCAGCTTCCCAACGGATATAGTAATATCGAATTTGGAGAACATCATGGAGAATTATGAATGATCGGTTTCAACCAATACAACGCTACGCTCCACACCTCATTAGACACCCCACGCATTACAGGTATTGTAATGCATCAATTAATGGAAGTATTACAGTTCTTATAAATTACATGCTTACAATTATAAAATAAAATTGATTTTTTCCTAATAAATCACATAAAAAATAAATCAAAAATACATTAGATAATTAAATGAAATATAAAAAAAAACAGATAAAACATGATTAAAGCGCTGTAAATTATTTCACAATGATTATTTTAAATGATACAACCAAAGAACATATAAAAAAAAACTAGAGACCATATCTTTGCTCCCAATTGTCCGATTTTTTTTTGTTTTTCTGGAAATTCCATAAACTTTTAAAAAAACATAATACATTTTCGACAATAAAGTGTATACTTTTTGAGTTATTCGGAATTTAATTTTACCATCCCTCGTAACTTTTTTTCCAGCTTCTTTTCGTTGAAGTATGTTACATAGATAAATTTAAAGGGCCTAGAAAAAATGACTTTAGCGAAGTTTCATTGAAATCGGTACATTCGTTTACGAGCTACAGTCTATAGCAACGCAGGGTTTTCGGCCGCGACTTTGGACGTAAAAGGCGGATAGTAATGTCAATGAAAAAGGATCATCCTCAGGTGACCTCTGATTTTATATATAAATTTGGAAAAAAATGCGTTTCGGAGAAAATGCGCGGACGGCGGACGGACAAAAAAATTTTCATTCGTTTTTCGAATTCTACGTATCTTGAAACGTGAAACCTCAAATTTTGAGAGGGGGTTAAGTTTTTTAATTTTTGGTTGATCACAATGGTTCATTATTAAAAATAATAAACCAAAAGGAGTGTGTGTGTGAAGGAGGAGAAAATCTTCAAAACGAGTGGTCAATCATTGGATTTGATGAAGTTATGGCGTACCGACAAAAAACACATTTTAGAAATAATTTATAGGGCAGCAAACACCCGTATTTCCATAGTGGCGTGGAGGGTGGAATATATAAATATAAATATAAATAAATAACTGGGTGAGTTTGTAGTGTGCACTTTTGATTTTGCCATAATTGCTAAGTGTGACGTCTGAAACAAATTTATGAAGCTGTCGTTTAGTTGTCCTTTTTAGCCGTTTGTTATCATTGTCTATTCCAATAATTTATTGTGTCAGATAAAATATTTGTTTCAATGTGATATAGAGAGATGATTGTGTCATAGCTAATAGGCAGGAGCTTTGACAAGCTGTCCGCTGCAATATTTTCAGCAATTCCGATTTAAATTTAATTTTTACGCCCAGGTCGTGAAGATTTAAAATATATTGCCTAATTGTTTCAGTCAGTAAGTCGTGATATTTTTTATGTTGTTTATTAAAATTTAATTATATAATTTAAATAGTTTAGGAGAGATATAATTGGTAGATTCGAGGATTTAATCGATTGCCTTAAGAACAGCTTTTCAACTTGGTCGTTAGCGTATTTTTTCCCCATTCGAAATTGTTCCTCATGTTTTTTTCAGCTCTTGTAAGAAAGAATGCGCAACTAATATTTTGCTCCTGAAAGAACTCTCCAGTACAACGGTGATAAAAAAAAATGTGAAAACCAACAAGGGAATAAGAAAAAAGGCCATAAGAGGCTTAATACCGCTTTTGGAAAAAAAACTTGGAAAGGTACAGGTATCTTCTCTAATTGCTCGCTGCCTTCGCCCCCCCCCCCTCACTGGCATTTCCAATTTTATTTGAAAAATATTCTAAGTATATTCCCGTCAATGCGCGACACTCCCTAATAACTCCTGAGTTGGAACACCATTATAGCGCATTTGCTTTTCGGCACATATTAACCCAATCATCAGAAAAAGTATTCCTGGAAACGGTCTCTTTAAAACGATCATTAGTATTTTTATTTGTAATGTTATTTTATTCACTCCATGTCAAGAGAAATTTAAAATATTATTATTTAAAATTTTTTTTAAGTTTTAAATTATAATTCGAACTAATAAATTTATCCAAAATATGATTAAAATGAAGCAGAAACCGTTTTTTAGTTTATCACACAACGTAAATAATTTATTGTCGCAAATATGTTTCAAAAGACTTGGCATAAGAAACTATTTTTCCTATTAAATATTTAATAGTTGACCGTTGCATTATAAAGGAAGGAGATGGTCCGGGATTGCTGTCATAAATAGACTAAATAGAAGTAAAACTATTTTATTAAAAGCCAGCGTTTCGACCCGACTTTGCAGGTCTTCTTCAGGGCTAGAACTGACAAGATACAAAAAGATATATAGGATTGTGGAAGTTACATAATATTTAGACAAAATTATAAACAATGTGAATAAGCTTATTAAAATTATAAACAGTTAGTACATGAAAATATAAACAGAGTAAGTTAATCTATTAATAAGATACTGTAATTTTCTAGATTTTTTCCCCATTACCCAAACAAATCAGCAAATTCCCCAATACCTGTCCCTTCTCTGGTTTTCCAGTTCTAAGTGAAACTCCTAGCTGAACACACCTGTAAGTCTCTAATTTTATTTATTTAATTTTTTGGAAATTCATTCGTTTTCTTTCTCTACATTCCTTTATGTTCATTATTTCATATTATATCCTTTTACCTTTTCTTTCAATCTCTCCTGTAGATCTGTAGAAGTATATTCACATTTGCATATATATTACACTACAGTAATTGTTACCATCTATTTACTTCAGTTTAGGATTCTGTTAATCAGCTTACTCTGTTTATATTTTGATGTATTTACTGATTATAATTTTAATAAGGTTATTCACACTGTTTATAATTTTGTCTAAATATTATGTAACTACCACAATTCTTTTTGTTTCTTGTCCGTAGTAGCCCTGAAGAAGACTTGCTAAGTCGGGTCGAAGCGTTGGCTTTTAATAAAATAGTTTTGCCACTATTTAGCCTATTTATGACCGCCAACCCGGACCATCTCTTTCCTTTATTTTTCCTATTCATATCACCTGCCATGACGGACATAAATACTGCGTAAATTTTACTAACACCTGAGTTTATTAAAAGTCTTACAGTATGTTGTAAATATCTTCTTCTTCCTCTTCTTGATCAATTCCTCTTTCACCGTAGATCAGGATAGAGGGTTCTGTTTATAGAGCCTCGCTCTTGCGCCAACTGACTGCGTTTATTACAGTATATGTCCCCCCCACTAGCGGATCCAGGATTTAATTTTGGGAGGGGAAGCTTCAGCCCGAAAGTTCTTTTTATAAAGATAATTAATTTGAAAAAAAAAGAGAGAAATTAACTACCTATATGAAATGGTGTATAAGTGGTTCTTGATGTCCTAGTAAATGTAATTAAACGAACAAGAATACTTGAAGAGATAGTTTTTAATATTTTTTTAACGTAAAACATGGTTATATTTTACCATATTGGGGGGCTTCAGCCCGAAAGCTCCCCTCCCCTCAGTAGATTCGCCTGAGCGCCAACTGACTGCGTTTATTACAGTTTATGGTCTTCTGATTGAAATCTTCTCTGCATGAAACTTCTCAAATCTTTCTGGACTCTTTGTATTCTTTCTTCCATTTTTGCTTCATATATATTTTTGGACATTCTTTCCTCCTGCATTATTTTGACCTGGCCTTATCCTGTTTTACTATATTTTATTTTCTGCTGATTTTATTCCCAAATTCCTGATTTCGTCCCTCCTAGTTTTTCCTTCTATTCTCCTCAGAAACCATATTTCCATTGTTTTAATTTGGCTTTTATGTTTTGAGGTTATTCACCTCTAGAATATCACAGGACATGCTTTAGTGCCATGTTTCCATCAAGCTATAAGCTTAAAAATAATAAATATACACTGCAAATAGAATTTTTTTTTTTATTTATACATGTTTTGGGCTCTTCAACTACTTGGGTCATTTTCGCCCTATATTACAATTTGATGAATTACTACACACATAACTCAACTGTAGCTAAGAAATACAATTTAAAGTTTGAAAAGATAAGAATAATTGCAGATGATTATGATATTACAATTGAACTAAAATTAGAAAAACTGAAACTTAAAGATTTAATAGAAGAAAAGATAACAAGACATTCGATCAAACCCTCTCCTGGAGACCACACATCTCCCAAATTTCCCGTCGTACTATCTCCACCCTGAAACAGTTTAACCGTCTCCGCTATCTCCTTCCATATAAATCCCGTCAACTCCTGGTTTCCTCACTTGTGTTCCCCCGCCTCGAGAATTCGAGGCCAAACTTAAACGCCTGATGAACTGCGCAATACGTTTTGTTTTCGGAATCTCAAGAGATACGCATATAACCCAGTATTACACCAAGTTGAAATGGCTCTATCCATCCAACTGCCGTCTGTACTTCCTTGATACCTTTCTATACCAAGTCATCAGAACTCAGCGGCCTTCCTATACTTTTCACAGCCTACAATTCAAATATTCCATTCAATCTCGTCTCACTAGATCTCGTACCTCCGACCTCTATCCACCTCCTCACCGAACTGCTGCGTTTGACAAATCCTTTATAATTCAAGCCGTCTCCTTCTGGAATACCATCCCTCCCGATATCCGACATGTACAAACAGTTTCCTCATTTAAATCTCTCTTTTTTAACCACCTACTCCTTTCCCAACCCGATTCATCATACAATCAAACTTTCAGGTCGATTTTTAGGCGCTTGTATAGCGCTCTAACCACTCTGCTATACCGGCCACCTAAAATATTAGATACATATAAATATTCGGTTTTCGTCTTAATAAATATCGGTCAAACCTTTTTCAAACATGGCCAAACCTTGTTGCAGAGCGGAGCGGAATGGAGACAAGTGGCGGGCTGTAGAGGCCATCGTCGGCCATGGACTCCCTGGACTGGCCGCTCTTCGGCAACGACAGCAATGGCAGCTCCCTCCCGGACTCCAGCTACGACGACCTGGCCATCGACGAGTCCGAACTGCTCTTCGAGTTCATCACCAACGGGGTTCTTCTCAACCTCGTCGGCATCCTGGGCATAATGGGGAACATCATCAGTATGGTATGCTTTCTTATTTAGTTTCTCATTTTTTATTTATATATTTTTAGATAAAAAGATAAGAAAATATCTGTATTTTGTAAATACAAGCGTCTTTGTAACGAAAAATTAAATACAAAAAAAATTTAGTTCGTAAAATAATTGCTAGTTTTATTGATTTACTCGAAGAGGGTTTTTTTTTTTTTTTTTTATTTTAATGGAATTTACAACTGTATTACATAGAGAATACAATAAGTAAATGAGAAATTTGTAACATGGCATGTACAACATGAAGAGAAACTACCCATTGGTAGAACTCAAATTAAAGTCCCGAGGCCATCTTCTTTTCAGACGCCTCGGAGGGTTATCAGGGATCGAGGAGGAAGCAAGGTTTGAAACGAGAGGATTCGGATGGTTCTGCAGTTTGTTATAGGAAGGAAAGGTATCTGGATTGGGCCAGATCGGAAACATATGGAACATTAAGGTCTTTATGGATGATTTTATTTGTGACAAAGTAAGGAGCGTTGAGGATTTTACGAAGGATTTTGGATTGTAAGGATTGGATACGAGAGGAATTCGATGTTTTAGTGGAGCCCCAAAGCTCAATTCCGTAAGTCCAAATAGGTCTTATTATTGTCATATATACGAGTCGTTTATAATTGATTGAAAGCTTAGATCGTTTGTCTAGTAAGTGCTGCAGTAGTCGAAAACGTCGGGCAGTTTCTAGTCGTTTCAGTCTGGTATGGGGGTTCCAAGTGAGTCGTTTGTCAAGGTGGAGTCCTAAGTAGCGGATTTGCTCAACAGGAATAAGTGGAGTATTATTGAAGGATACTGTAGGACAAGAGGTCATAGGTTTACGACGGAGGGTAAAGGTGATTTGATGGGATTTGTTGGAATTTATTTTTATTCTCCAATTCTCGAAGAGGGTTAAATATAAAATTAGGTATTTAGTATTAGTTTTAATAATAAGTGTTAGTTTATAATAAGTCTTTGTTTTAAGTATTCATTTTATTTCGGATTGGAATAACCAACAGCTGATTTGGAGGAAAAACAAAAGAGAGTTGAGTTGAGAGATTTCGGAACCTCGCTAGTGTAGAGGCACGCTAAGGATTTGTGTGTGTGAAATACTTAAATTTTACAGTGTACACCGGATTTTATTTTACTATCCACGAACCTCTGTGATTATCAGCGACGAGTACTGTTTGATCTTACAAGTTGGTGAATGAACATTTTCACAGTTTAAAGTGCTGGACTGGGGAGACCCTGACGACGCTAGTTCGAATAAGATCCCGCTTCCTCAGATAACTCAATGTGTCAGTTGGACAGAGTTCAACCAGTGGGATATTGTAAATATGTACATGTAAGTTTTTTTTTCCTATTTATTTTTTTCCCCAAATATCTGTAATTGGTTTATTGTATAGTCGTAAGTTAATGTTTAGTTCTAGAATAATTTTATCATCTTTCCTTTGATAATTAAAGTTGATTGTATTTTCTTCGTTTTCTTATAAATCCAATTTCTTGTTCATAATTTTCATTTCCTTCAACAGTTCTTTAAATTAATAGAAATAAGTAAATTCATCTTTAGTATTAATAATATCCAGTTTTATTTTCTTCTTTTTCTTCTGTTTGTTTTCATGTTGTATGTATATATTATATTGCTTTTATTTTAGTTTAATAAGGAATTGTAAAACCCTATTCGAGGAATTAGGGAAAGTCATTATTAACCAAGTAAGAAGGTTCGATAGGTTTTTGAGGGTAATTAACATATGTTTTTAAACCCATAGGTTCCGAGCTCGTAGCTCACTCTGAGTCCTAATCTTTTTATTTTTAATTAAATTTATTTAATTTTTTTTATTTTTATGGTTTTCACTATTTTCCAAATTCAACAAATTAAATAGCGTGGCGCCTGTTAGATAGTTATTAATATTTAACTGACTCTTGATTATTTTTTTATTTTTTTTTTTTTGCGAACCCTGCCGTCTCCACTGAGCATCCGGCAAGTATGTTGCGGAAACGATTTTTCCAAATTAAAGACCGTAACATATTGCTGGCACATTTTACAGATTTCTAATATATCACTAATATTATACATTAACAATACGCTATGTTTAGCTCCCTCTTAGTTATATATCTTGAAACATTTTACGAAATTTAATACTGAAAACATAAAAACAAAAGAAATCAATTTTACAACTTGTTAGATAGGTAAAATAAAAAATAACAAACTTCTAGCATAAAATGAAGATAAGCTGAGTAATGGTAACAAATGATTGTGACAATAATTAATGAAATATTTCCATGCTTGATCATGAAAAAAAAAAAAAGGAAACTATTTATAAGGCCCGAATTACAATAAAAATAGAAATAAAAAAAAAAACTTCTCCAGAGTTCCAAAATGAAATTTATCTATATAACAAAATAATTAGGTTATTATAGATAAATAAGTAACAGGACTCGCATACCCATTGCACACATTTATCTTAAGATTTTCTTGGGACTTTAATACTTTTGAAAGAAAAAGGAAACTTCTGAAAGGGAGTGAGAAAAAAATAAGTTTTGCGTTTGTTATACGCTTATATGTTTCCGTTGGACATTCATTGAGATTCTTCTTGTAAAGGAGAGGTATTTGAATTTTCCTATTTTCGGGAACGATTTTCCTTTTCCTTTAACACAGATCCTGGAATTTCCGGATTATTATCATGCATTTTCTTTAATATCCATTTATATTTAGGTCGATTTTCTCTTCTTCTCTTATCTGAGTATAAGCAAATTCTCAATGTCCTCTTGGTTGTTTCCAAGTACAGCCATGTCATCGGCATATCCAAGGATTTGAAGATTTCTGATATTTCACCTTGTATTAAGACTTGACATTTGGGACCGTTTCTACAGGTCCTTGCCACTCTTATGCATGGTTATTTATTTATTACGTTATGTGTAGTGCATACTAAAAATAATATAATGAATGGAGGAAAATGGTCCGGGGTGACGGTCATAAATAGACTAAAATAGTGACAAAACTATTTTATTTTAAGCCAACGTTTCGACCCGACTTCACAGGTCTTCTTCAGGGCTACAACGGACAAGATACAAAAGGATATAGAAAATTGTGGAAGTTAGATAATATTTAGATAAAAATTATAAACAAGGTGATTATAGTTATTGAAATTATAAACAGTAAGAACATTGAAATATTTTTTTTTTTATTTCTTATGACATTTACAACTGTATTACATAAATACATCAAGTAAATTTGGACATAATTGATATAATGACATGAATACACTTGCTGAGTAACTACCCAATGGTAGCACTCTAATGATATGACTACATTAGGAGATCACTGGGCCATCTAATTTTCAGGCGCCTCGGAGGTTATCAGGAATTGAAGAGGAAGCAAGGTTAGAAACGAGAGGGTTGGAATGATTTTGAAGTTTATTATGGAAGGGTAGGTATCTGGATTGGGCCAGATCTGAAACATAAGGAACATTAAGATCTTTATGGATAATTTTATTAGTGACAAAGTAAGGAGCATTGAGGATTTTACGAAGTCTTTTGGATTGTAAGGATTGGATGCGAGAGAAATTCGATGGTTTAGTGGAGCCCCATACATTGAAATATTAAGTACAAGAAACTATAGAGTAAAATAAGTAACACAGTCCTAAACTGGTGTAAATAAATAGTAATAATTGTTGTAGTATAATATATAATATAATACAGGCAACTATGGATATTCTCCTAAAAAAAAGATAAATAATATAAAATAATGGACATAAGGGGATGTGAAGAAAGAAAAGAAAAATAAATAAAAATAGAGACTCACAGGTGTGTTCAGCAAGGAATTTTAGTTAAAACTGGGAAAACTTGATGGTTGGAGAGTGGTAAGAGGGTAAGTAGTAAAAGAAAAATAAAACTTGGAATTTTACAGAGTATCTAAAATTTGAAGATATTGATACAAGAAAAATACGATATCTATGAATTAATAAATTATAAATATATACATATTCATATAAAATAGAATTAAGATATTATTGATAGAAGAAATTTTAAATACTTAATAGTTGACCGTCGTGTATTTTAGAGGAAGAAGATGGTCCGGGGTGGCTGTCATACTTCTACGTACGTTTTACTTCTTTCATTTTGTTTTTATTCACATTGTACTTCTACCTATAATTTCTTAATTCTATTTTATAAAATGCATGAGCAAATGTATCAATATATAGAAAATAGAGACGGAGACATGGAAAATGGAGTGACGGGAAGGACGAAGAAAAGTAGAAAACTAATGTAAGAAAAATAAACTCACCTGCTCTACCAAGATGCAAAGACAGACAGGCGTATTGTAGGGGAAGGGAGGGGAGCTGGCAGATGGAGCTCACTGTAACAGTTGACCAAAAAAAAAACTGAAGCACAGGAACGTATATGATGGACGAGTGATTTATTGTAGGTAATATTTTATTTATTTATAATAGAGTACCTGATCTACGTGAGACGTAAAAAAAAATTAATTTCTTTAATGAGATTAAAGAAAAAGAAAACTGAAAGTAGTACGGAAATTAGTAAGTCTATTCATAAGGCAATGGAGAATTAATGATCTATGTGGAAATCGTGATGACAGAAAACGAAAATCATTAAAAATAAAGAGCAAGTATGGTGTACCTTAATATAAAATAAGAATAAATATAGTATAATAAAATAAAATAGAATTTAAAAAAATGGTTGTTGTCAGAGAAAACGTCAACCATCAATCCACAAGTATATATAATATAATATTTCTATAATTTATCTCAGTATCATCTTTTACTATTTTCATTTATTTTACCTTGTTTTTACTTACTTCATTTCCTGATTGTCATACTCAATTTTACTTTCACTTACGTATATATGTAATATTGCGTGAATATAGTAACTAATTGTGATAGTAAGGGTAAGTATTGCGATCGAGAAAATTTTTGAACCTGAGTTTTCAACGGAAATGCACGACTTGAGGTACCCTGAGTCGAAATGACCAAGTCCTGAAAAATGGTCTGTGTGTTTGTATATTAGCAGTCTAGCTCAAAAATAAAAAGTCGCATGAAACTGATATTACGTATTTAAGATAGGTATATGCCTTAGATGTGACGGCAACTTTTTCCTTGAAATCGGCTAACCGGAAGTGCCACTTTATATCAACGCTGAAACACATTTTCACAATTTTCTCAAAAAAGGCTCTAACGATTTTGATTAAACTCGGTTTATCATTGTATAATGAAGTAATCTTTAATATCAATTAGGTATTAACCCCATTGATGTCACTTTATAGGGCTTAAATGCATAGTGTTCATATACGTCTTCCTCCAAAGTACCTCTAATATAGTTTATTTTTAAAAATTAATCATTTCACATTATTCTGAGTTACGAAAAAATGCTAAATATGACTTTTCAAAGACTTTGATAAGTTAATAAAGAAGAAAATAAAAATGCAGAAAATGTTCTGCTGCAAAGGTTATATCTTTTTTTTTTTGTTTTTGAATTTTGAATGTGTTACTTAGGTAATGCTAATTGTTTTAACATATTACTAATGATTAAAAAATAAATTTTAGTCCATTAATTAGAATCACCTTTTATTTTTAACTAGGAAGGTAATGTTACTTTAGATGTATAATTGTTTGGAAATAATAAACCATTGTGAAATAATTTGCAGCGTTTTTTATGTACAATAGATATTGTTGACTGGTTAATATTTAATAAAATATCTTTCCTAAGAACATCTTTCATAAGAAATAATACCTAGTATAAACTAAATAGTACCCAAATTTATACCTTAATTCACAGTTCTATATTTCAACACTGCAATTACCACCTCTGGAATCAACTTACTCATTGTCTGCATGGATAACTTTTTCAACTGAAAATATCACTAAAATGACATCACTCAAAAAAGTTGAAATTGGAGTTAGTCATTCTGTGGTTTATAAAAGCAAAGGGTAGCTTATATCTGGTATATTGTACTAATTTAACATTAACCTTTATTTACATAACTTTAACGATTACCAATAATTGTTTTGTATTTTGTTTACTTTATGCCAGAGGAATACCTACAACATAGGTCGGCTATCCAATAAACACCATTTCTATATACTATGTTTGTGAATGTTGACCGCACCAATCGACTAACTTTTTGAAATATATTCACGCTCAATTATTTACATATGATTAATTTTGTGATACAACTTTGCGAAGGTGATCCTGTCCCGGCCTCAGATGCGGTCCTCCATCAACTACCTGCTCACCGGGCTGGCCAGGTGCGACACAGTGCTCATCCTCACCTCCATGTTCCTCTTCGGACTTCCGGCCCTCTACAAGTACACCAGCACGCCCTTCCTCGCTGGCTACTACTTCCGGGTCTACCCCTTCCTGTCGCCCATCGTCTACCCGCTGGCCCTCATCGCCCAGACGGTCTCCGTCTATCTCACGCTCACGGTCACCCTGGAGAGGTTCGTCGCGGTCTGCCACCCTCTGCAGGCGAGGTCCCTCTGCACCTACGGCCGCGCCAGGCTGTACGTCATCCTCATCATCATCTTCTCGACCCTCTACAACCTCAGCAGGTTCTGGGAGGTCACCCTCGAGACGGAGTTCATTCCTTCGCTCAACATGACCATCTACACCCCCGTTCCGTCGGAGCTGAGGAACAACCACGTGTACATTTCTGTCTACATCCATTGGCTCTACTTGCTCTTCATCTACTTCCTGCCATTCAGCTGTTTGGCAGTGCTCAATGCCGCCATCTACAGGCAGGTTCGTATAAATCAATTTAAACTAGTGTTGATCCCATTTAAATCCCTTCTGATGTCGCTATCCTGGTACAATTTATATAAATACTTATTAACTTAATTCATCCTCTTCTACCACTAAGCAGTGTAAGACTTCCATCTACAGAGCCTCATCCAAAAGTCTCTTAGGGCAATTGTCTCTGCTCGTCCAATCCATTTCTCTCCGCTTTCCTTTATTCCGCTTTTCCGAGTCTTGGTCATGGTCTTGGTCTTGCGCAAGAGTCTCACAACAGTATAGCAGTTACTTATTAGCTTATTACTATAGCGATATTACTGTAAATTTTAGATAGGGGAAACCTAACTAAGCCCGAATGAAAAATTAGAGGAGTTAAATGTAAAAGTATATTCGTGATACCAATTATTAACATATAGTAACTACGATTGTCAAGTATTAGTAACTATTTTGCCTAAATTTTTATTTAAAAAATCGTTTGTTTTTTTTATCAGTCCTGGTCTTGGTCTTGCAACAGTTGCAACATTCATGTTCTCGTTCATGCGGCAGACATGTCTAAACCACTGGAGTTGCCGCCTTTCTAGAGCGGTTTTAAGTTCGGTAACTCCTAGTTGCTCTCTGATGCTTTAGTTCCTAATGCGATCCCTTCTAGTTCTGCCAACAGATCTGCGAAGGAACCTCATTTCTTTTGCCGTTATGCGACTAGAGTGCCTGTCCAGCATTGTGCAGCTTTCTCCGCCGTAGGTGAGTGTAGGTAAGTTAACAGACTTATATACGTGCATTTTGGTCTTCTTGTCTACTTTGCGGCGGACGATGATGGTATTAGTAGTCTGGTAATACACTTGATTCGCCTTACATATCCTTTTTGATATTTCGACATCTATTTTACCCGAGCTACTAATTACGATTCCTAAATATTCACTCACTACCTCAGGTGTCTCGCTGTTGCAGATCAATTGTCTATGGGAAAAACCGATACAAATGCGAATGTATCGGTCTTTAGGATATTGAAAAGTCAAGATCAAAAACCTTGATTTTGTATCTCAGTCAAATTCTATACAAAAAAAAATAAAAACTTCTACCACCAGTTCTACATCAAGTTGAAGTGGCCTTATCCGTCCTACCGCCGTCAATATGTCCTTCCTACCTTCCTATACCGAGCCATTACAACACGGCGACCTGCCTATATTCTACAGATCCTACAATGCAAACGCTCCTTTCAATCCTGTCCCACCAGATCCCGTGCGTCCGACCTCTATCCTCCTCCTCACCGAACTGCTGCGTTTGATTAATCCTTTTTAATTTAAGCTGTCTCCCTCTGTAACTCTATACCTCCTAAGCAACCTGTAAATATTAAATTGTATTTTATGGACACGCCAAAATATTAATATATATATTCTGTATTTGTAACTTGTTCTAAAGGAACACTAGTCCCAGAATAATAAAATTATTTTCATTCATTCATTTTCATTCATTAGTTCATTCATCTTTTAGTTGCTGCAATACTCATCTATCCAGCCTTTTTTATTGAGGGTTGCTCCCTCCCGAGTATTTGAAATCTCTGACTTGTTTCAATCCTTCTCGCTTCAGTCGAAGTATTCCGTCCCCCCGCCTCATCCTTCCTCTCTCTTTCTATTTATTCCCTCTCATCCTTCCTCTCCTTTTCTATTCTCATTACTTTGGTTTTGTTGGTGTTAATATCTAAGCTTAACAGTCTCGATTCTTTCTGTAAGGTTTTCACTTTTATGCTTAAATAAATATAATTATAATACTCGATAATAATTTTAAAATAATATGATCACATTGTTCTCAGGTAAGGAAGGCGAACCAAGAGCGACAACGCCTCTCCCGGTTGCAGAAGAAGGAGATCGGTCTGGCGACGATGTTGCTCTGCGTGGTCTTCGTCTTCGTCTTGTGCAACATTCTCGCTCTAGTGGCTAACGTCCTCGAGGCCTTCTACGGCATCATCCTCGACCGCATGGTCAAGCTCAGCAACCTCCTCGTCACCATCAACTCTTCCGTCAACTTCATCATCTACGTCATCTTCGGCGAGAAGTTCAAGAGGCTGTTCCTCAAGCTGTTCTGTTCGCAGGTGCCGCGTGCCTGCTACGGCGGCCGGGACTCGCCGGACTGCGCCACTCTCCACGAGGACAGCGTCATGTTGTCCAATGGCGAGGCTCGGCTGCGGGCGAATGGCAGCGTGAAGAGAGTGGCACGCGCGCTGCCATGCGTCTACTACCCCGCGAGGCATCAGGCAGCGAAGTGGCACCACGACACCACCACCACCACGACACTCAACCAGATCTAGGCAGGCGAAAGCGTCTCTCGGGTGAATAAGGCTTAATGACTGTGTAAGAAAGTTTATTCATGTATTTTATAAAATGCATTGGGCTTTTCGACCATCTGGGTCATTTTCGCCGTATATTGAAAATATTAATTAAACTATTACTAATATTGTGGGAGCGGGGTAGCTCAGTGGGTGAGCACTGACTTCCAGAGCTCAAGGTCCTGGGTTCGAATCCGGCTAATGAATAGTAATTAATCATTAGCCGTGGATCGACCCTGGATCGAGAGACCCTCCTGGGGCACACCCAGCCTCTATAAAGTGGGTACTCTTAATTATAAAAAATAATTAAGGGGGAAAACCTGGCGGTTGAGCGTGAACTCGGTCAAATCGCCTCCTTGCACAACCGTAGACCAAGAAACAGTGCTTTCCCTAAATAGTACTGCACCCAAGACCCTTCATGGGTTGTAGTGGTAAATGTTTTTTTTTTTTTTTTTTACAAATATTCAAATAACAAATACAATTTTACACTTGAGTACCGTAAACTTAGGAACTTGAAAAACAGTTATAATTAAATATACAAGCACACAAAATTAAAGTTAGGAAAGATAAAGAATGAAATTCATTAAAATTAAAAATTCAATTTTTTTTTATCTCTTTATACTTCTGTCCACACCTGTCATAGTATTGACAATAAGCAGATGTGATCTCATTGTGAAGAAAATTGTCATTTAAGGCATGAGGAAGATTAATACCCAGCGAAACCTCTTCCTGGTCTTGGTCTACTTCATAATTTAGAAAAGGAGATCTCTCATCCAGCTCCTCTTTAGTCGTCTCCTGATGGGCATGTAAGCTGTGGCTATGTCGTTGACAAGTCCGTTGTAAGGTCCATGTACTTTAAGGTGACATTGAGAGTAGAGAGTACGTATGTGTTGGTCGATAGTTGGTTGTTGTAGGTCGGTATGTAAAGTTTTGTTGAGCAGCTGTTAATAGTCTTAAAATTTTGGATTGAATTTGTAGAACTGTAAATTTGTGAGGTGCATGTCTATATGGGTTTGAGTAGGTAAGTGTACGTATTTAGTTTCTGTCTGATTTTTAATTTTGATTTGGAAAAAATGGAATATAATATTTTCGGTCGTTTGTTCAATGTCTTTCGTTTCATAGTCATCCTTCTGTAAAAATCCGAAAATCCAAATTTAAAATTAAAAGAAGAAAATTTAATAACTACAATTAAAATTAAATGTTAGAACTTTAAAAAAAAGAAGTTGATAAAAACAATCAAAATTAAAAGGTTTTTATTCTCTTCAGACCTCCATCCGTACCATCATAAAAGTGAAAATAAGCAGAATTGATGGCATTGTAGATGATAATGGTCTTTTTTTTTTTCACCCTCATCTCACTTTTAAGGTTATACAGAATTTTTCATGGGCCAGAGGAGAGGGCGTGGGATTAATCCTAGAGTTAAATATTTTATATCTGTAAACTTCAGTTCACCAATCATCTGGTTACCGGGCAAAGATAATGGCATTATAGGCATGAGGAGAGATACTACCCAACAGCATCTCTTCTCGGTCTTTGTTTATTTCCTCAAATCAGAAAAGGGAATCTCTCATCCAGCTCCTTTTCAGACGTCTCTTGTTAACGGTGGCTATGTTGTTTATATTAAGTTTAAGTGTATATTAAGTCTTTTGGTGTGTCTTTGTAGTTTAATATAAAATCGGTATTAAAGGGTACGTATCGATAGGTGGCTGTCTTAAGTCAGTATATAAAGTTTTATTAAAACTAACATGATTTGGATGACCGGATTGAAGTTGTACAAGTTGAGGCCTATGAATCACTTATATGTATAAACATTTCAATACATTTCGACCTATTGCAATTTCATATTTATTCATTTAGGTCTTCCATTTGCCAATTTCACAACAAATTTACATAATATTAAACCAGTAAACAAAATCGCCCTTTATTGTAGCTAAGCATATATTTCAGCTTGTTCATATTTAGTTCAATTCCCAGATATTCTTTCAACCAGATTTCAACCTTTTTCGGTACCCATCCACTAGCGATGTATTATATAGTTAAAAGCTAAAAATAAACCAAGAATGAATCATAAACTTTGGTTATCTTTGACCAACAGACTGAACCGACTGCTGTCATGTTTAATTTCATTAATCATGGATATGTAAACATTCGCATCCTATCCAGAGAAACATTTTGTCTTTTTAGAGATACCTAAAGTTAATATATCGCTTATACTGCCCACCGCACCGACTGCTAGCAGTTGAGGACTGATTTAGTTTAATATAAAAGGTACTTTCGCTGGTACCGCGGCGAAATAGGTTGCTTTCTATTCCACTAAGGCAGCGGTGAACTGCTTGAAATTGCCGCGGTGGGCAGTACTTGCTAAATAGTTAACATTGCCTTTGTGGGGATTTATACGCTTAACGGTTTGAATTGAGTATTGTATAATTAATTTGATTAGTTTTATATTTTCGCTATCATTATTAATGTGTCTATATATTTTAGAATTTGATTGCACTATGTTATGTACTATTTCTTGTCATGGAAGCAATTTAAAATTTAATAATAATAATAAAAGGCTTAGCGAACCCGAAGGTTCGATGCCGACACCACCAATCGCTATTACACACCTCCCTCCACCGTTCGCCGTCCAAACCCAGTCCCTTCAGATCGGCTTTAATGCAATATTCCCATCTTGCTTCGGCTACACCTCGGACGCTTACCATTCGGTACAAATATTAACCTTTTAGGAATTCTCTCGTTACTAAGCCCAACAACTTTACAAGCCCATTTGATTCGCCGCGATGAAATTACCTCAATTATATTACCCGGAAACAGTTCACGCACAGCGTTGTGTACCCGTCTGAACTCTTCAGTTAACTCATCCTTCTTTGGTCCGAATATTCTACGCAGTACTTTATTTTCAAAAACCTTAAGACGCTACTCATCCCTTGATGTAAGCGGCTAAGTTTCGCCTCCAAAAAGAACTGTAGGTAAGAATAGTTTTATAGATTCTAATTTTTAAGTTCCGGGACAAGAGGCGTGAGCCAAGTAGTTTTGTCACAGAAAAATAACAGGCATTTTCCGCCTTCAATCTAACCTTAATCTCTTCTTCAATTTCGTTTTTTCTAGTTATCGTAGATGCCTAAATTTCTCTACCTGTTCAAATATATTACCATAATTTAAAATTTAAAGACAAGTATATTTTTCAAGTATGATCTTTCCCAAAGGAACATATATTGAATAGGGTAAAAGCTCCACTAGGCGACAGTGTGCCATTAGTTAACATCCTTTTCGAAAAATGTGATTAATAACGTTTCAGGACCTCTGTTATTTCTGTTCTATCAATTTGTGGCTTCTATGTTTTTAAATTGTATATTTCTCTGCTCTAGTCACACCGCAAACCTTTATCGAAGTAATGAGAAGAGAGATAAGAAGTTCCCTCATAGTCCATTTAGTGTCCCAGCAACAACCAGCAATTAGCTAGAGCAGGTTCACAACCTAGATCCACAACTGTGGTGCCCGCGTAACGTCACTTGTTCCAATAAACATGCCTTTATCGGCCTGGCACCTGTTTTACTGTTGTCTGCACTATATGGAAAAGCTTTTAATAAAATACTGAGTATTTATTTCAAGAAATTACATTACATACATTATAAACATATGCTATTTCATACTTTGTATTATTAGTACCAGATAGTAATGTCGGTGTAGGAGGATCATCTTCATGTGACTTTTGACTTTGGTTCCAAATTTGAAAAAAAAAAAAAAATCGGTCCAGTAGTCTCGGAGTAAAGTCACGGACGGCGGACGTCGTATTGCGGTCGGAGGAAGGATAAAAACGTTTTTAAAGGAAGGAGACGGTCCGGGGTGGCTGTCATAAATACGCTAAACAGTGGCAAAACTATTTTATTAAAAGCCAACGTTTCGACCCGGCTTTGCAGGTATTCTTCAGGGCTATAACGAACAAGATACAAAAAGATGAAGAGAATTGTGGAAGTTACATAACATATAGAGAAAAAATTATAAACAATGTGAATAAGCTTATTAAAATTATAAAAGCAAGTACATTAAAATATAAACAGAGTAAGCTAAGTAATAAGAAAAGAGTAAGCTTACTATGTTTATATATATATTTTTTAAATTTATTTTATGAAATTTACAACTCTATAAACAAGACAACTAGTAAACATTGGAAATAATGACGTGGACAGACTTGAAGAGATATTGCCCACTGGTAGCACTCCCTATTTAATTCTAGATGCGAAGATCACGAAGCCATCTTCTTTTCAGACGCCTGGGAGGATTATCAGGAATCGAGGAAGAAGCAAGGCTGGAAACAAGTGGACTGGGATGGAACTGGAGTTTATCATGAAAAGATAGGTATCTGGCACTGACTAAATCAGCGACATTGTTTATATTTTAATGTACTTACTTTTTTAAATTTTAATAAGCTTATTCACATTGTTTATAATTTTTTGTCTAAATATTATGTAACTTCCACAATCCTATATATCTTTTTGTATCTTGTCAGTTCTAACCCTGAAGAAGACGTGCAAAGTCGGATCGAAACGTTGGATTTTAATAAAATAGTTTTGCCACTATTTAGCCTATTTATGACAACCACCACGGACCATCTCCTTCCTTTATAATGCAACGTTTAACTATTCAAAATTCAATCAAAAATATTTGTATTCGATTTTCGAATTCTATGCACCGTAAAATGTAAAACCTCAAATTTAGAGGGAGTGGAGTTATTTTTTTTTTATGAGTACAATGGATCGTTCATTATTGAAAATAAGAAATCAAAATGTTTTTACACCTAAAAGTTCAAACAAGTTATGTCAACTACTTCTGCTTTTGCCCTAGATGAGTTTGATCAAAACTTCATATATATATATATATATATATATATATATATATATATATGTGTGTGTGTGTGTGTGTGTGTGTGTGTGTGTGTGTGTGTATGCGATAGGTACTTTTCAATGTTCCAAGGAAATGATGGCTTCATAATGAAATTTCTTAAATGACGAATGACACCAGGGTGAAGTTTATATGTTTGAAAACTTTCATCTCGGAGTTAAATTATTTTCATTTTATTAATCAATTCGTTTAGACGGCCTAATTTTAATTAAAAAATAATTCCCTGACGTGTCCACATCGCACAATGGGAAACTCGTGACGGTGACTAAAATTCGTAATTTTATAATGACCTCAAATTTCTAAATACCTGTTCTTTCGGGATAGTGTGATTATTTTATTCGCCTAAAGGAAATCTTCAAAATGGCGGCTCAATGTTTGGATTTATTTTAGAAAGAAAGCAAAGAGTACGATTCGCTAACCCACCATAATATTCTAAAGCCAACTCTACCCCTTTCTTGGCGTTTGACGATGACAGGAGATTATATTTAGTACAAAACCGATTTCAACCGTTACTGTAATAATATACGTGAAAATTCTAATACACTAATGAATTTATTTGTTATTGATTAAAAACAGCCTTGTCTATTTATTTTAAACACATTTCTATTTTACTATTTATTGTATTTAATGAAGTCATATTTAATAATATTTATCAACCAACAATGAATGATTGAGAAATAATATGTTTAAAAAAATACATGAAATTCTGATTAAAATCAGATACTTTTCTTTTATAGAAACTATTGGACTACGGAATATAGTTTTCTTATTTTTTTACATTCTTGAAGAGTTTGCTCATTGGGATGAATTTATTTAATTATCGATAGGGATGTGTGACCGTTAGGGAGAGATGTCGATATATTTCATTAACTCTATATTATCATTAATTAATCTAATGACTGTATTTTCTCTTATTATTGTTTGTTTCTTTTAAAATATTTTATATTAAATTTGTTACATTTTGTTCAAAATACTTTATTGTCATTATTTTTATTGGCACATTAATTTATTTTTATAGTTATATCAGTCTATAATAGCACCTGATGTATTACCCTTTTATCTATTTATGACAATTAATTTTAAGGGACAATTAACATTTAAATGCGAATATAAATATATCTTTAAAAATAAAAATTGTACATATATGCCGAAAAACATACTGTACATATACATTTTAATTTTAATAGTTGTAAGACATTTTAAAATTTAGTACTATACAAAGATGTTGAATAAAATAATAATAAAAATATCACTATTCTGACTAATTCCATAAAAACCGTAATGTTGTTGTAGTTATCTATGTATCCAGAAGTAAGTAATATCTAATTTTTTTCTTTTTGTATTTTTTCTTAATTTATATTATTGTTTAATCCCAAGAGACTGCTGTATTATAATGGTACTAATTTTAAAAAATTAAAATCTTCGACAGTGAGACATTTATATTAAATTCATTTTAATATTAAGTTCAAATTTTTATATTTAAACTTTTAGAATAATTGTAAATAATAATATTGTATTATGTACTTGTGTCTACATTGTATTCTTAATATCACCAGGGTGTTATAATGCAAAATGTGTAAATGTACTAAACTTATTGTACATATTTGTATATTGTTATTATTTATTAGCTATAATATCAATAAATCATTATACTCAATTGTATTTATTAATTATAATGTTTAAACTGGTATGTTATAATTATGTTTTACTATATTTTGTATATAATAATAAAAATCTATTTTTATTCAAATGCAACTATATCATTAATATTAAGATAAAGAAAAATGTTTTTTGAAGATCATTTTAACATATTGTTTTAGAATAATATATAATAGGATATACATATTTCATTTTAAATCGTCTGTGATAATGTAAATGTTTAATGTTCATATATAATATATAATGTATATACAATAAGTTTATTTATTGCCATCCTTGTACTAAATCAGATGTTCATTCATTCACTAAAACTTTTCAGATTACTAGGAAAATCATAGATATAGATCATTTAAAAATTTCAGAGAAATATGTCAAGTTAATTTGTGTAATGATAAACTATGTTAGAGTCCTTTTAAAAAGCACCTTGGTACGTTAGCAACATAACCTTACATACTGACCTGCATATGCCGACTGTTAACGAACACATACGTATTCATTACAAACGATTCCATGACAACTTACAAGGACATACTAATACACTTATAAATGACATGGCCACTACGAATATGCCAAGTAACGTCTGTAGGAGACTGAAGAGGAACTGGATGAGGGACCTCCTCGCCTAATGTAGATATCACGCCGAGTGAGGTGCCGCTGGGCACTGATCTCACATTCACTGGTTGTCATTAGCATTATGACAGGTGTGAATAAAACATTAAAGCTAAAAAAAAAAAAAAAAAAAAAAAAAAAAAAAAAAAAAAAAAAAAAATGAGTCCTTTTAAAACTCTTAATACAATTGGATATCGAAATAGAACAATTCAACTTGTAAATAACATGTTAAAGGTTAATTGTTAATGTACTTTTGGCGGGAATAGTGAATATTCCTTCCATTTTATCGTAGTGATAGGTTATTTTTACACTCATGATTTATTTTCATTTTTTTTTTATTTAATGAAATTTACAACTGTATACAAATACAACTATTAAATATGCACAAATTATAAATAACGACATGTACAGGCTCGAAGAGATACTACCCAGTGGTAGCACTCTCTAAATAATACTAAGTAAGAAGATCACGAGGCCATCTCCTTTTCTGACGCCTAGGAGGATTATCAGGGATCGAGGAAGAAGCAAGTGTGGAAACAAGGGGATTTGGATGGGCCTGGAGTTTATCATGAAAGGATAGATATCTGGCTCGACGTAAATCAGCGACATATGGTACATTAAGTTCTTTATGATACTCGTGATTTAATTTTCTTAAAACAAAACACTGGACTTTTTGAGGGTGTTTAACTGTCATTGGGAATTCGGGAACCTAGTACTTTTGTGACAATGAGTGAGAAGAAACAATAAGAATAGATATATATGAAATATAGGACTTAGTAAACACACTTTGAATGAAATGTATATCTATTGAGATTAAAACAAAAAAATAATTACTCAAAATGTTTTGTCTTTTAAATTCAATCTCCGTGGCCAGTCATCAATAGCAGCACGCAGCACTTCTTGAGGAAAGCGCTCAACTGCTCGGACCAGAGATTGTTTGAGGCTTTCCAAGTTAGGGTGTGCTCTGTGGCATGCCATCCTCTCCAGTTCGGACCAAAGCCGATAATATAGTTAGTTGAGATCAGGGCTTCCTGAGGGCCAATCAGAGAAGAACTCTGGAATGTTCTTTTACAGCAGAGTTGACCTAGCCTTGTGAGCTGGAGAGGAATATTGCTGGAAAACCCAATGGCTTCCAGCAAACAGAGTATCATTTGGAGGCTTGACAACAAGTTCCAAAATATCGTCCTGATAGTTTTAGCGGCTGTTTTGAATCCTTGTTCCGAAAATGGAGCTTTGTGGTGCCATCAAAGCAAACTCTCCACCAAACCATCACTAAGGGAGGGTGATGACCTCTTTCCACTCTTCCAATGACTTCCTGGACTATTATTTTGGCGATTAATTTTTTCTTCAATTCTAAAAAGTTTCTCATCGCTAAACAAAATCTTTTGGTGAATATCATTGGTGTAATCGCCAAGGAGCACTTTGCATCTATTCAATCTAATTTTTTTTAAGGGAAGTGGTTAGCATTTGCCCTGTCATTCTTCGAAATGCAACCATCTTAAAGTCACTTTTTATTATGCGAGACATTGATATGACGGAGATTACCTAAGACATAATTTGTTGTTTTCGAATGGGATTTCTTCTGATTCGAGCAGCCTTTGCGGGGACGAAGTCTGTCACATACAGATAGGGTCTCATTATATCTATTTATAGTGCGGTACAGCAACATACGGCTGATACTCAAAGGTTTCAAAGTATTGAAAATCTCTGACCTTTATTTGCGGACTTTGTGTAAGGCGATCAATGCTATTCGGTTTTCTTTATCACCCCATTCCATGTTAAATGAGAGAAAGAAAAATACAAACTATTTGGGATTATTTTCCTGACATGTAAAGAAAATAACCTGAAAGAGGTGGGGATTATCTAAATAACCGAAGGACGTAAACAAAGTTCAACTTTTGTAACAGTATTTACGGCAGAACTAAGTATTAAGTCTCAATTTTGTGACTTCACAAAGGAAAATCCATCAAATTCCTTATTTGTTTGAGATTATGAAAAGTCACTAAATGACTTTTTGAAAAATACCGACGATAAACCTTCCTATGAACATATTCAATGGAAAAAAACGGATAACTAGATACTATAAATATTAATATTATTGGGTTTTCCGGAAAATAATGAATTTTTTTTTTTATTTGTTTATTTAGCCTCTACCCCTAAGGGTCATTGGCTTAATGTTTTCATTTTATATTCGTTGATAAAAGTGAATATTCTTTAAATATTTGAACAGTTTTTTCTATTTCATTCTCCCTATCTTGCAGAATTTCTTTCATTTCCGTTCCCATTTGAATTTTTTTCCTTATATTACTGTACTTTCTACATTCTACTAAAATATGTTTTGCTGTTCTGGATACTAGGCAATGTTTGCAAGTTGGAGCTTCTGATCCTCGCAGGAGGTATCCATGAGAAAAATCACCGTGCCCCATTCTTCACCGTGCCGACATTTTTATTACAACTGTTTCATTTAATCAAAATAGTCTCCTCTACAACCAATACATTTATGCTAACGTGTTGGCAATTTTTCCATTCCTCGGAATAGAATTCTCTATCTTTAGAATTGATAAACTCAACAAAATGGTTCCCTTTCGACTAAACAAAGATGACTTCATTTTTGACGGATTGTATTAATTCGGTTACAGATTCGGTATTGTTGATTTGTCCAGGATATGATAAGCTGAAGTGTATCAAACCAAATGAAGCCCACTAAACAGTAACTAATTCCTTACTTGTTACTTTCCTACCTATACTAGGTAAGGAAAGTATTGAAATCGGGTGAATTTTCCGATATGCGGTTTTCGACGGATCTATACTTTTCAGAGCTCCCTGAGTCCGAAAAACATATTTTATCCATTGGTCTGTCTGACTGTCTGTCAGCCGAAAACATGTTTTTTTGAAAGGTAATGAAATTCCCTACAAAACTATATAAAAATCGTTCATTTTGGACAAATAGTAACGAAGTTACAGCTATTCAATTACCAATGTAAGATTACGAGTTCATATCCTGGTGTCAAAAAGGAGTGAATGAGAGAAAAAAGATGACTAAGTGAAAGTAAGAAAATTTGTTGTCCGCATCACACAATCTTGACTATTACCTCTACATTTAACAGAAATTATTGTTTAACAAAATTAGGCTATGGCATAAAGTTTTTGATCAGCAATATTAGAGAGTATTGTAATGTTTACACTGATCTACCTTAAGCCGGTTTACATTGCTTTAATTTATCAAATAAATCTTACTCAAATCTTTTCTTTGATCAATTTTCAGGAAAATAAATCTAGTTCATTTTTTTTTTTTTTTTTTTGTTTCTTCATGAACTTATGCAATAATAATAATAATAATAATAAGGCTTAGCGAACCCGAAGGTTCAATGCCGACACCACCAATCGCTTGTTACAAACCTCCCTCCACCGTTCGCCGTCCAAACCCAGTCCCTTCAGATCAGCTTTAATGCAATCTTCCCACCTTCGCTTCGGTCTACCCCTCGGACGCTTACCATTCGGCACAGCAAATATTAACCTTTTAGGAATCCTCTCGTTAATAAGCCCAACAACTTTACAAGCCCATTTGATTCGCCGCGATGAAATTACCTCAATTATATTACCCGGATACAGCTCACGCAATTCGGCGTTGTGTAACCGTCTGAACTCTCCGGTTAACTCATCCTTCTTCGGTCCGAATATTCTACGCAATACGTTATTTTCAAAAACCTTAAGACGCTGCTCATCCCTTAATGTAAGCGGCCAAGTTTCGCATCCATAAAGAACTGTAGGCAAGATAATTGTTTTATAGATTCTAATTTTTAAGTTTCGGGACAAGAGGCGCGAACTAAGTAGTTTTGTCACAGAAAAATAACAAGCATTTCCCGCCTTCAGTCTAACCTTAATCTCTTCTTCAATTTCGTTTTTTCTAATTATCGTAGAACCTAGATACCTAAATTTATCTACCTGTTCAAACATATTACCATCTATATCGATATCACCAGTAGTATCGCCATTTTTGCAGCTAACCATATATTTTGTTTTATCCACGTTTATTTCGAGTCCTAGTTCTTTACCGGCTTTCATTAACGTTGTCGTATTTAGTTTTATAGTTTCAACGTCTTCGCTTAACAGTACCAGATCATCAGCATAGCCCAGCACGGATGTTGTCCCGCCCAGATCCAACCCTTTCTCGGTTCGCATTACCTCCCTAATGGCATGTTCTAATGCCAAATTGAACAGGACAGGCGAAAGAGAATCCCCCTGTTTTAAGCCCGAACGAACCTCAAATTTTTCGGACAAATTATTACCGATTCTAACTTTATTGAGTGTCTCCGTCAAGCACATCCTGACTAGATTTACTAGTTTTTTTGGAATCCCCTGCTCGATTAGAATATTATACAGTTTCTGGCGGTCAATAGAATCGTAAGCCTTTTAAAAATCTATATACAGCTGGTGAACAATACCGTTGTACTCCAATTTTTTCTCTAATATTTGCCGTAAAGAAAATATTTGATCAATAGTCGAACGATTCCGTCTAAATCCGCATTGGTAGTCTCCGATAATTTCCTCGGCGTATTCCGTGATTCGACTGATTAAGATTAAGGTGAATATTTTATAACATACCGGAAGGAGTGAAATTCCTCGATAGTTATTACAATCCGTCCTCGGACCCTTTTTGTGAATCGGAATAAGAATAGATTCTTTCCATTCTTCAGGTAATTTCTCGTTCACCCAGATCTTTTTAACCAACCGATGTATTTTAGAAACTCCAGCTTCCCCGCATGTCTTAATTAGTTCAGTAGGAATATTATCGATTCCCGCTGCTTTATATGATTTTAATTTTCCGATAGCTACTTCAGCTTCCTCTTTACTTGGTCCTTCTATTAACGGTTCAGGACTCTGGTACTCAGAAGGACGACAAAGATCATAATTTCCCGTATTTAAAATATTGTCAAAGTGGTCCTTAAACTTATTCAATATGTCAACCGGATCGGTCAGAATATTGTTATTATCATCCCTAATTCCAGACGTTACGGGCCCTACATATTTACATGATCTGTTTATACCTTTGTACATGTCTCTTACGTTATTATCGATTCTATTAGTTTCTATTTCAATTATTTTATTTTTAAGATACTCTCTTTTTTTATTTTTGAGCAATTTTGTTGTTTCGTTCTTTGAGATTCGGAAGTATTCCAGATTGTCTTCGCTAGGATTATTTAGGGCTTTTAATTTAGCGGCTTTTCTTTTTTCGCACATGTTTAAGCAATCTTCATCAAACCACGGTTTGTTATTCTTATTTTCCTTTTTTCCTAGACACGAGTTACCGACCGCTTGAATATTATCCCTGATCTCTACCCATAAGTTGTCAATATCCTCGTGGTCCTCGTCAGAAAGCTCTAAAGCTTCAAACCTATTCTTAAAATCTAGCTCGAATTGGTTTCTAATTGATGGATTTTTTAATTTTTAAAAATTAAAATTCTCAAAATCGAAACGGTTTTCTTTTCTCTTTTTTATATTAAGTTTTTGTCGAAGTTTCGCGATTACTAATTCATGATCCGACCCACATTCTGCTCCGCGATAAGACCGTACATTAATTATAGTGCTTTGCCAGCTGTGTTGTATCAATACATGATCGATTTGATTTCATATTTGCGAATCCGGTGATGTCCAAGTATATTTATGAATATCCATCCTTATGTTTAAACGTCGTACTTTTAATTATCAGGTTTTTCGAGATGGCAAAGTTTATCAGACGGATCCCATTATCATTACTATATTCGTGCAAACTTTCTTTACCAATCGTCGGAATATAAACTTCTTCCCTTCCTACCTTTGCGTTCGCGTCACCTACAATGATTTTCATGTAGTTTCGCGGTAGTTTATCATAAACCCATTCGAGTTTATCGTAAAATTCACTTTTGACTTCATCGTCACTGTCTTCGGTCGGACAATGTATGTTTATTAATGCGATTTTAAACCAACGTCCCTGAAATGTAGCTACCGAAATTCTATCACTAAAGAATTGTACGTCCCTCAAAGCGGATAGTAATCTACGCCTAATTAGAAACCCGGTACCTAAACAATGATTCTCGCTTCCTCCGTACCAAATAGTGTACTTCCCTTGCCTCATCGAGCCCTCCCCTGGCCAGCTAACCTCTTGCGGAGCCACGACATCCAAATTGTACCCATATACCTCATCCGCGACCGATTTTAGTCCCCCTGCTGTGTTTAAACTCCTTAC